AGTTATGGAACCAACTTAGGTGCCCTGCAATAGGTAAACAGATAAAGAAAATGTAGTTATATACACAATGAATGTTACTCAGCCATAAAGAAGAATGAAATTGTGGCATTTGCTGGTAAATGGGTGGAACTGGAGACTATCATGCTAAGTGAAACAAACCAATCCCCAAAAACCAAATGCCAAATGTTTTCTTTGGATGTGGGGTGAAGCGTGGGAGGAACAGACAAACTTTAGATAGGGCAAAAGAGAGGAAGGAGAAGAGAGGGGGCATAGAAGTAGGAAAAATGGTGGAATGAGACAGACATCATTACCCTAAGTACATGTATGAAAATACTTTGTGGACAACTAGAGACATGAAAAGTTGTGCTTGATTTATGTAAAATTAATTGAATTGCATTCTACTGTCATATATAACAAATTAGAATAAAATTTTTAAAAATTCTACCCAAAATCATTAACCTAAATTTCATCATAGTACTCTTTCAATATAATAAAACTTTATTACTTAGAAATTTAGCTTCCAAATTTGTTCTTGCAAAATGTTGAAAAAAAGCACAACTATTTCTTTGAAGTTTTTTATTGTTAGTTTTCTTATTCTTTTTTTTTTTTTTTAAAACCTAAAGCCCCAGAGGCAATTCCTAACATTAGATGAGAAAGATTTGACTATCTTTATTTCCCCTTCAGTATTTACTATTCAGATGGTACTTACAGGCAGCTTCATCCACACACTCTTGGTTCCGCTTGTTCCTCTCGGCTATCCAGTCAAACAGGGAGAGCTCACACAGCTGCATTTGGATATGCAACATCAGGTGGTACTGCACCTAGGACAGGACACACTGTGGGCTCCCATATTTGCTAATTCACGCAACATTCAACTTGCCTACTCTAGGCCAAAAACAATGACTAAGCACTAAGGACCCAGGCCTGCCCAAGAAGCAGAGCAATAACTAAATAACTAAAATATGTCATAACACAAGGAGGCAAGGGTAGGCCAGGCTGGAGTCAGTAGGAGTCCAATGGTAGAAGCTCCTGAACATGACACACGGAGGAACCAGTTCCGAAACTGGTCTGCAAACAGTTTTTAAATCTAAGATAAAACATCAAAGAAGCTTATGTAGTACTCTACAACTCTACTGAAGTATATATACTCTGGCTTCACATAGTACATAATAACTTATTCAAGAAAAATATAAGCAAACATTAAACTTCCTACAGCCCACTCATTTAGGCATCAAAGGAAATTTTCCAAATACAGAAATACAGAAAAATGAAACAATTCTGATTAGAAGTCCCTCAAACTAAACTCCTCTGGATTCAGGTGAATCCATTCAAAGTTTTTTCATTAAAAAAAAAAAAAAAAAGTTAGGCTAGGGTTGTGGCTTAGTGGTAGAGCACTTGCCTAGCATGCATGATGAGGCCCTGGGTTCGATCCTCAGTACCACATATAAATAAATAAATAAAGGTATTGTGTCCACCTACAACTAAATATATATATATTCAAAAAAAAAAAAAAGAGGAATTCAAGTTCAAGGTCAGCCTTAGCAACTTAGCAAGGCCCTAATCAACTTAAACCCTGTCTCAAAATAAAAATATCAAAAGGGCTAGGGACAGGTTGGGGTTGTGGCTCAGTGGTAGAGTGCTTACCTAGCACATGTGAGGTACTGGGTTCGATCCTCAGCACCACATAAAATAAAGATATTGTATTTCTACCTACAATTAAAAAATAAATATTTTTTTTTTAAAAAAAGGGCTGGGGACATGGGCTCAGTGTTTACGCACTGGTATCAAAAAACAAAAAACACACAGACATATATATTCCTTGACAAGAATTCTGTGTTCTGTGTTGTGTATATATAGCTGAGATATACAGTTTTGCAACTCTAATGACAGATTCTGTAAAGACTTTGGGTTTTTTTTGTTTTTTTTTTAAAGAGAGAGTGAGAGAGAGAGAGAATTTTTAATATTTATTTTTCAGTTCTCGGCGGACACAACATCTTTGTTGGTATGTGGTGCTGAGGCTCGAACCCGGGTCGCACGCATACCAGGCGAGCGCGCTACCGCTTGAGCCACATCCCCAGCCCTGTAAAAACTTTGTTAATGCTCACTTTTTAAAATACTAATATTCAATACCAGTGAAGGAAGTCTGACCAGCATATTAGTATAACCCTCAATAAGAATATTCTGAAAACTGACCTGGTAATCCTACAAGACTCATCTAAAATAAAGCTCTAAAAATAGAAAACTCTTTGCATAAATATATTTTTATAGCATGATGCTAACACACTACAGAAATTAAGTGTGAATGAGGCTTCCAAGTCCAGCGCAGACATTAAAGAATGTCTAGAGAAGCAATGACCCACTAGGGAAATCAGAAGAGGGTCATTAGTAGGATCTAAGTGAAGGAGGCAGACCAAATATAAGGGCCATATGGCAAGAGAAAACATAGTGAATCCAAGACTGAACACAGCACAGAAGAGCGAGAGCAGAGACAGTGAGGCATGCCAAGTGGGAAGTCAACTGAGAAGGCAGGCCCACTACAATCCTTCATACAATTTTTAAGATACATCTCATCAGTAGGTTCTGGGAAAATGTTTTACCTCTGTCTGTCCCAACAAGTTAAAGTTTTCTTCAGAAGACTCTTCAGTGGATGTGAAATTCCCTTCCAAGTCTGAATTATGCCTGACTGGCAGCTGATGTTTGACAATCGATCTGTCAGACAAATCAGCCAAGCCATTTTCCTGGAGATTAATGGATGACTCAAGTTCATTGCTGTCCCTTATAACTAAATCTGTGGTGTAGTTCACCAATTTGTTATTCTGATTTTCGATGTCACATTCTCCAAAGGGTTTTTCTTTTTCTGAGGTAAACTCAGCAAAGATGATTGACGAGCTGCTACTTTCATTGTCTTTAACACCATATTGATCCCTGGAGGAAAAATACAGCAAAAAATAAAAGTGACTGTAAAAAGAGATCAAAAGAGTATCTCAACTGCTTCTTCAATCTGTAGGAATCTTATAGATAAGCTTTTTGAAAAGGGTATCAAATCGTTCCAGTAGCACCCTTTATTTAACATACTAAATTACTTGAGTATAAAGCAATTTAATATTTTTTAATAAAAATAAACAAAAAGGAAGCCTAAAACACTCCTGCCAAGCTCCCAATAGGAAAAGGCAAAGGCAAGTCAGTGCAGGCCACAGTAAACAATGTCTAATGTGCATACACCTCATACCTGTCCACATCAGAGAGCACTTCAAGAGAGGGCAACTGAATAGGAACTCTGCCTGTTGAACAAAACAAAATATAAATATCTGCAAGCAGCCCAGTACTTCAAGTTAAAAGCAGAGCTAAAATGTATAAATAATACCAAATGAGACTATAAGTCAAAATGAATACACCATCTTTATTAAAATAGCAGGCTTGTTTTAGAAAGTATAAAAACAGACTTGTTGTATACACCAGGAGTCAGCAAATTTTTTATAGAAAACCTGAAAGAAAACAGTTTAGGTTTTGTTAACTCTAAGGGACTCAGTTGCAACCTGAATTCTGTTATAGTGCAAAAGCAATAGGTACATAAGCCTGTGTTCTAATAAACTTTTTTATTAAGTTCCAAAAAATCACATTCTGAGCTTAGATAACCCAATTTGAATTATTCATAACTCCCAAAATATTCTTTTCATTCCTTTTAACTATTTGAAAGTAAAAAACCATTCTCAACTTGGAATATACAAAAACAAGGGTAGGCAAGATTTGGCTCATAAGTAGAAATACTCCAACCATTTTACTATATAGGTTGAGTATCTCTTATCCAAAATGCACAGGACCAGAAATAAATCAGACTTTGGATTTTTTCCAAATGCTGAAATATTCACACAGACTACAAAATCTAGAAAATTTTAACACTCTAAAAGTGTTGAATTTCAGAGCTTTTCAGATTTCATGTTTTCAGACATGGGATGCTCAATTTTTTTTTTTTTTTAATATTTATTTTTTAATTTTCGGCAGACACAACATCTTTGTTTGTATGAGGTGCTGAGGATCGAACCCGGGCCGCACGCATGCCAGGCGAGCGCGCTACCGCTTGAGCCACATCCCCAGCCCCAAGGGATGCTCAATTTGTATAGTCAAAAATGACTTACCTTGGGGCTGGACCACATGAACATGTTCTATCCATGCAGTATGATAGCCTACAATATTAGGGTGTTGAAGACCTGCCAGCACCTTTACTTCCCGTAGTACCTAAAGAAAATGTAAAGAGATTTTACCAGCAATTTGTTAAGTGTTTATTCCTCTTGAACACTTCCTGTTCAAGAGCAAATAATAAAAATCTCTCTGTACAAGCAATCTGAACTATGTCAATGGGGATATTCTAGTGAGAGACAAATAGTTACAGCAACTAAATAAAATTTATACAGCACTTTATGTTTTGTAAAGCTCATTCATTATCATTCTCTCATCTGATTTCCTACATCAAATCAAGGTAAGTAAAAAAAACACTATAGTCAAGTGAGAGAAACAGCAACTCAGAAAATAAGGCAGTTTTCCCAGAACCACAATAGCACGTAGGGGGAAGACCTAGACAAACTGGGCTCATGCTTTATAGTAATAAATTGTATTATACACTAATCATTTACCTGAAAAATTAATTTCCCCAGCAATGACTTGAAATGTGGTAGTCTACAAAAAATTACCTTAAATAAAAATTTAGTTTTGATATTTATACTATACTACAATTTCATCTTATAAGAGAGCAATCCATACCACCTACTATTTGCCAAATACACATATAACTCCTTTGAAAAGGAACTTAATTCACAATTATACAAAATAAATCTTTGTTTCTTTCTTTGAAATGAGGCTTGCTATGTTGCCCAAGCCCATCTTGAACTCCTGGGCACAAGTCCCACCGCGGCATCCCAGCAGATGAAATGCAGGTACATGCTATCACTGGGCCTAGCTCAAAACACTTCTTAAAATCATACCTTCATGCAGTCAGTCTTAGTTGCACCCTTAATCAGAATTTTCTTAATTGCATAATGCTGGCCATCTAATTTATTCCTGACCTAAAAAGCAGAAAAGACCAAGTATTAAGTTCCAATAAGTTATAAATTAATAAATTCCTCTATTCTGAGCTTAGTTAACCCAAACTAGCCAAAAATATCAAATTAAGTTAAAGCCATGAATCCTTGGCCCCTGTTTTCTGGGAAGTGAGTCCTACTCGGCTGGACTGCAGCTTTGTAAACTGTGTGAATCTGACACCCAAAGGTTCTAGGTCTAAAGAACAGGAACATCAGCTAACCTACCTAAGCCCCAAAATGCAGGACATTCTTTTTAGTAACACTGTGTGTGTGTGTGTGTGTGTGTGTGTGTGTGTGTGTGTGTGTGTGTTGCTGAGGATTAAACCCAGGACTTTACACATGCTAGCTCTATCCCAAAAACTACATCCCCAGCCATATTAACACTTTTTTTTTTTTTTTTGAGAGAGAGAGAGAGAGAGAGAGAGAGAATTTTAATATTTGTTTTTTAGTTTTCGGCAGACACAACATCTTTGTTTGTATGTGGTGCTGAGGATCGAACCCAGGCCGCACGCATGCCAGGCAAGCGTGCTACCGCTTAAGCCACATCCCCAGCCCCAACACTTTTTTTTTTCTTTTTTGTACTAGGAATTGAGCCCAGGGGCACTCTACCACTGAGCTACATCCCCAGCCCTGTTTTGGGTTTATTTATTATTTATATATGACAGCAGAATGCATTACAATTCTTATTACACATATAGAGCACAATTTTTCATATCTCTGGTCATGTATAAAGTATATTCACACCAATTCATGTCTTTATACATGTACTCTGGATAATAATGATCATCACATTCCACCATCATTCATAACCCCTTTGCCCTACCTAGAGTTCATCTATTCCTCCCATGCTTCCTCTCCCTATCCCACTATGAATAAGCCTCCTTATATCAGAGAAAACATTCGCATTTAGGATTGGCTTACTTCACTTAGCATTATCTTCTCTAACTCCATCCATTTACCTGTAAATGCCATGATTTTATTCTCTTTTATTGCTGAGTAATATTCTATTGTGTATATATGCCACATTTTTTTTTTTATCCATTCATCTACTGAAGGGCATCTAGGTTGGTTCCACAGTTTAGCTATTGTGATTGTGCTGCTAGAAACATTGATGTGGCTATGTCCCTGTAGTATGCTGTTTTTAAGTCCTTTGGGTACAGACCAAGGAGAGGGATAGCTGGGTCAAATGGTGGTTCCATTCCCAATTTTCCAATAAATCTCCATAATGCTTTCCATATTGGCTGCTCCGATTTGCAGTCCCACCAGCAGTGTATGAGTGTACCTTTTTCCCCACATCCTTGTCAACACTTATTGTTATTTGTATGCATAATAGCTGCCATTCTGACTGGAATGAGATGAAATCTTAGAGTGGTTTTGATTTGCATTTCTCTAATTGTTAGTGATGATGAACATTTTTTCATATATTTATTGATTGATTGTATATCAGGGAACAGACATTTCAGTGTCTGTTCAGGTCCTTGGCCCATTTACTGATTGGGTTATTAGTGTTTTTGGTGCTTAGCTTTTTGAGTTCTTTATATACCCTAGAGATTAGTGCTCTATCTGATGTGTGAGGGGTAAAGATTTGCTCCCAAGATGTAGGCTCTCTATTCACCTCACAGATTGTTTCTTTTGCTGAGAAGAAATTTTTTAGCTTGAGTCCATCCCATTTACTGATTCTTGATTTTAATTCTTGCACCACAGGGGTCTTATTAAGGAAGTTGGAGCCTAATCCCACATGATGGAGATTAGGCCAAACCCTGTTTTTTATATTTTACTTTGAGAAAGGGTCTTTCTAAGTTGCCAAAGCTGGCCTTGAACTTATAATCCTCCTGTCTCAGTCTCACAAGTAGTTGTACATTTTTAATAAGAATATACCCTGGCTGGGGATGTGGCTCAAGCGGTAGCGTGCTCGCCTGGCATGCGTGCGGCCCGGGTTCGATCCTCAGCACCACATACCAACAAAGATGTTGTGTC